ATGTATTGCACAGTCGGTACTAATCGCTAGTGACTGTCTCTTTACGTAACCGCCTCGATTGTAGGGCGGAAGCCTACTTATGGTAATATTCTACTCTTAGCCGTATGTCTATTTTCATTGACATGTTTCGACGTAGAATGACATCTAGAGCCAGCAAGTGGGCAGCAATAGTCGTTGGACACAGATTTAGGAACGTTTCTTACGTAAATGGAGCGGAGCGAATGTTTATGTACGAATCTAATGTGTATTTATTTGATACTTTGGTACTAACCAGCTATACATGTGTGATCTAGTCTCACGAATTAACTAAATCGCTGGTACCTTATTCCAAAATGTGATGTAAGTTCTTAATCCTAAGGTTTAGGATTGAGAACCGTTATTTATTTCAGAGTTGAAATAGGGTTCTAGTATAAACTCCGAGTCTGAATGGGAAGGTCCCTTACCTACAATAGGGAAGTAGTACCATGAGTAGAGCAATGTGAGACCACTTAGCATTATTTTGGCATAACAGACTTGGTATAAGAACTTATACAGGCTCACCCCTTCTTACAATGATGGTTGTAAGAATATGATGATGGTTCCGGTTGCCATGGACTGGCGTTACACAAAAAAAATATAATAATAGGTACCATTTCGTCCTAGACGGGCCCAAGAACAATGATGTACTTCATTATTTTGTAAAACCAATGTTATGTTGTAATCAGTGATTTGAATAAATATTTCACAGAATGTAAATAAGTAGTCAGGTACATTCAGCGATACATTTCATATCGACGCTTACTTCATAGAACTCTTTCTGTTCATAAATGAACATACTACTATAAATATTAATATTGATCTTTGTAGTCTTTATGAATGCAAATTAAATTATCAAAAATAATTGAATATGCATACTCATGATAATATTGTTGGTGTATTGTATATTTAAGACAATAGGTTTATTGACTTTCAATAGTTGATTTATATTATTTTCTTAAGCAAAATAAAATGGATTAAAAGTATAAGACGTGTTAGATGTTCTCATAAATATTGGTATACATTGTATAAAAATCTAGGTTTTAGCTTTATTTTAAACTAGCTTCTGCCAGCGGCTTCGCCCGTGATCCCAGGGGTAAAATGCCTATGTATCACTTCAGACCATAATCTACCTCTGTTCCGAATTTCATTCCGGTCCCTTCATTCGTTTTAATATGACTGAGTAACAAAAATACACATAAACTCACATATTTTCATTTATAATATCGAGTCAAGCTAATTTCAACCATTGGCCTTTCAGTTACAGCGTAAAGTCTATGAATGAGTATTGTAAACGTTAGAGTAGACAAATACAATCAGAAATCACCGAATTGCTCAGCTATCGGGAGTTTCACGTGTTATTGTGAGTCAACCATAAAAGATAGACATATGCTGTCGAGGAATATTTTTTATATAATTTTAAGGAGAATATTTCCGTCATACATGATTTCTATGTAGTTTTAACCTATAAGCCTGCACACGTGACGGAAGCTTAAAAAATGGAGTAACTTCTCCCGTTTTTCCAATATTTCCCTTTACTGCTCTGCTCCTATTGATCGTAGCGCAATGAAAAGTATACTATAACCTGCCCAGGAGTATGAAGAATAATTGTGCCAAATTTCGTTAAAATCCGTCGAGTAGTTTTTGTTTCCATAACGAACATACAGACAGACAGACAGACAGACAAAAATTTTACTGATTGCATTTTTGGCATCAGTAGCGATCTCTAACCACCCCTTGATAGTTATTTTTTAAATATATTTTATGTACAGAATTGACCTCTCTACAGATTTATTATAAGTATAGATCAGTATTACAAATAAAAACATAGTCTATAATTATATACTTTTGTCGTTTAATACTTGAAGCTGCAACCTACATGCCAGCAGGGGTCCTTAAGTAAATGCGTTTGTACTGCTTTTGTTTACCAAATTCTTAATTATCTTGTTTGTTTCTTTTAGATAATGTGACTCTCGTAACACACTAATTGGTAAACCTACGTTTACTCTTTGTTTGTCCATTTCAGGGTCTGTAAAAAGCGTCCATCTTAAATATCAATCTGATATTTGGAACAAAAAATCTATTTTTTTCTACAACTACCTCCATTATGGATACCAAACGAAACGTCTTGATTGGTAGAATAGAGACCATTAAACGTTTATTATTTCCTAAATAGTAAATAGGACACATACTGGTATTATTTATTGCTATAACAATGTTCTTACCAAATATTAGCTAGATAAGATTTCCCATAATAATTTAGTTTACGTCTACAATTTGCCATTTTATAAACAGCGGCGTTAACTGTTTTATAGCCTATTGATAGAAGGTTTATACGGGAGAACAGTTGAGTCACTTCTTTAAATAGCCGCCGAAAACAGAATAATTTATAAATGGCGTAGGCTATTCCATAACAATATACATAGACATAGATAATAAATGAACATACATTTGAGTACCATGAATGACTATGGCCGTGTGTACATTATATGTCTTTTAATACAGGTAATTTAAATTAGCTTTCCGAGTAAATTTCGTCTTGAATCTGTTTTCTTCAATATTCCTGGCTTTATTTAATTGTATTTCGGATTTCGAATAGCGAATCCAACCCAAAGGCAGTGGGCCCATCGGCGTCGCTGATCACGTAACATCAAGAGTCAGCTTTTTCTATTTGCCCCTACCCATTTATTAGAAAGATAGGCAACATAAATGTATTTTGCGAATCATTTTTACACTGGTTTTGCCACATAAATAAATGAAAAAGTAACATATTCTTCAGGGTTTCATTTTCTATCCGCTCAAATGACGCTCTTATCCTACGATAAGAGCGTCATTTATGCGCTCTGTCATCAATCATGTCACTGCGAGTCCTAAAATACTTCTGTATTTTAATCATAAATATTGCAAATATTTAGAATCTTGTTTCAAAGTCGTCGATATTATACTGTTTGAGATAAACGAAACACAATGGACGTTGGTAACCTTGGACGAAGAATGCAAACGTAGTCGATTTATATTAAGTATAACAAATAATAATCAAGGCACTCTAATACAGTAGATTTAGTCAATATTCTCTTAATCCGTCAGTCTTCATCAGTCAGCGTTAGTTAATTATCATCAGTATTACATTTTACTATATGCACCATTTTCTCAAACGCAAGCGTTGTTTTATATCCTTCATTGCTTAGAGAACAAAAAATTTGCTCCAACTAGTAGTAGATCAAATTAATAGCTTTTTTAACCTCAAAATTAAAAGTCATAGTGAACGGAAACATTGATATCGTTCGTTTTTTGTAACAAGCCATATTTAATTACTCAATATTTTAATCTGAGTATAACATCTTATTCAGACGCAGTGGCCTCGACAGTTTGTTTAGTAAAAATGTATGTTCACAACATGCCAGTTCCTTGACAACACGACACTAGGTACGAGTTATAATATTGTAAGCAATTGCAAGCAAAAAATGTTATTGAAATAGTATCAGTAGTTGCACACTCCATTGTACTTATAACTTTACGATATTTTATATTTTATATTTTCGCCGTCCCTTCTTTCAATGTTACGATTTAACTGCTCTTTCAAGGCTCCGTCCGGTTAAATATCAACCAGGTTAGTCCAATCTGTAGATGTCGCATTGCGTAAACTGACGTAACTTCAGTAACAATTTAAATCCTTTTAATTTTCTAACAATGACGAAGATTTCATTTTACGAAAAGGCTTATTCTAAGCTAGTGCGCCATGCAAACCGGCACGATGGCCGACATATAATAAAACTGACGACAATATAAAGCAAACTATGACACAGTCGTAATAAAATAATCTGATATAAAGGAATTTTCATCATCAAAGAAAACATTAACATCTAATGCATAATAGGTATATCCACGATAACCAACTAGAAGCGAGTTACGAGGAGACTGTCGAAACGATGTCGAATATAATTTCTTAAATTGCGTTCAACGAAAGGTGATTTCGACACTAGTGTTAGTGCTTAGAGCTGGAACACGACAATTCGTGCCAACAATTGTTTAAACACTCGTTACTTGTTCACAACAATCCATAGCAGAAAGACTAATTGTCGTAACAGCACAAACATACATAGAGAGCTGGTTCGCCGTGGGCCGTGGGCAGTAGGGCACACATCATCGATCTAACGTTCATTAGTCACATGAGTCCCGCAGTCCGTTATCAGCCGGAGCAGTCGCAGAATCAACGGTTGTTAATACACACATAAATCACAATTATGTGATCAGAACGGCCACTAACCGAGCTGCATTCAGGTTCTATAAAGCTCGAGGGGATTACATTTCAAAACTGGCGACCTTCAAACATCAGATTATCTAAACTTTTACATTCGAGAGACCGACATCTGACTGAATAGAGGCTGCTACAGCAAATTAAGTTGACATTGTGTGACTGACCCGCTTGAGTAACTCACGAATGTTAAGCGTTTTTTCTTCAGTATTCGTTCATAATTGATGACAAAGGACTGATTCATCCGCTAGGTCTCTCGGTAAATAGTTAGAATATGTTTGACCGCACGTACTAATTTCTATGATTTATTAACTTGTTTGCGAAGAATGTGTCTAAGAAGCTTGACAAGGTTTGATCAATTTACTTTTAATAATAGCTTATAATGAACTTTGTCCATACCCTCGAATAGCTCATAGATAGGCTTGTTAATTTTGACATCGCAACCTTGTGGACGCAATACATTTTTAACAACACTTGACATAGTAATTGAAATCGAAAAGCCGGTGATCCATGAAATTCTACGTCGCATTTCAATATTAAAGAAAATGTTTGCCGAATGTAAAATAATAATATAGTGTTTACAAGCGCCGTTAGAGCTCGAAAGTCAACGCTCTGTCTGTTGTGACCTTTGATCAGGGGTCAAGAGTCGTATACATATATATTGGTTTTTTACACAATATTCATTAGTATCGACAGATGAGCACTATTTGGGTTAATATCTCGTCGACAGAAACACCTCGTGTCAGAGGGTCACCAGAGCTTCACCACAGTTCACCGAGTTCACTGTTGGCGCTGCAGGCCGCTTTGCTTTACACACCAACCGCGACCCACCCTTGACCTCTTCTTGACGACGCTGATTTCTTGATTCGTCTTCACAACGATAACAAACGCAACCAAACGCATCGTTACCTAACGTTTAAATCTCGTGATATTTCTTTAAACCGACTGGATAGTAGGTGTTAAGGACTAACTGAGCCTGAAACTTAGAAATTACGTATCATAGCCAAGTTGGTGTGCGAACACTGGGTACTTGTTATGTTTGTGTGTTAGCACCTATTAAGTGAACTGTTGGAACAATGTCCTTCACAGGGTTATGTCTTGTTGTTTAGACCACATTCCCCGCGCTTGTAACTATTAAATTCATAATAGCCACGTAATAAACATTAGGTATATACTACGCGACTTCACCCGTATTGCTGAAAGTTGTAATTGCAGCAAATTTAATTTTTGAACAATTGTCGTTCATAATAATTAATTTGTAATAAAATACGCGTTGTAGAGGTACTTACTTACACACAATTTTACATTCGATATGATTATCGATTAATACACGTACAGAGAAAGCATTTCTATCGCTATCGACTTATTGTTACAAGTAAGATCTAAATGGGTATGATACTACAAACTCACTGTAACAAAAGTAATAAAACATATTATAGGTACCATGTACCTATGTTATGTCAGCTCCACACTTGTAAGAAATTAAAATTAATGCATTTTATCTAATATAAGAATTTGCTCAACTTATTAAATCTGCCTTTAAATCTGCCTTGAAATATGTTCAAAATAACCAGGAGAAGATTAAAATGAATGTAATATCACATCATGCTTCGTCTAAAAACTTCGCGGGTTTTTGGACGGAAGTTAAAAAGCTCAACCCAAAAATTAGCGTACCAGTTAGTGTGGAGGGTGAATCTGACAAGAGAGCTGTTGCAAATAACTTTAGTGCGCATTTTCATGTAAAGCAGACTTTAATTAATCCAGCAGTATCTGTGCCTTCGTCAAATTGTTATAAAAGTGTTGAGGAGGGGGCTTTTCAGGTGTCGACTGATGATGTGGTTGAGGTTCTCAGGACAATGAAACGAGGGAAATCACCTGGGCACGATGACTTAAGTATTGAGCATCTGTTATACGCAGGAAAGTATATTGCTGATACCTTAACTTTACTGTTCAACCTTTGTGCGAGGCACCAATACCTGCCTGAGGACCTTATACGTACATTAGTTGTCCCTATAGTTAAAAATAAAACTGGAGATGCTACTAGCATGTCGAATTATAGACCCATTTCGCTGGCAACGGTTGTGGCCAAGGTGCTTGAGCGCCTGCTACATAAAAAGTTAGGTCCCGCACTTGTATTAAATGACGGGCAATTCGGTTTTCGTCGTGAAGTTTCAACGGACATGGCTATTTTCTCTCTGAAGCAAGTTGTAGCGCAATATGTGGAACAGGAGACGAGTGTTTATGCTTGTTTCCTTGATCTAAGCCGTGCTTTTGACACCATCAACCATGACTTGCTATGGGAGAAACTTGATAAAACTGATATCGCGCCTGGAGTTGTTGGACTGATTAGATATTGGTATTCTAATCAGTTGAACAGCGTCAGGTGGGAATCAGCTAGATCCGATAGCTATAAACTATCCTGTGGCGTTAGGCAGGGTGGGTTGACCTCTCCGGACCTATTTAATATCTACATGAATGACTTGATTGAGGAGCTGAATGGGACTGCGGTGGGGCTTAGGCTTGGAGACAGGTATGTCAACAACCTGAGCTATGCTGACGATATGGTCCTACTCAGCCCCTCAATTAAAGGTATAAGGAAACTGATGACAATTTGTGAGAGATACGCTAGAGAACATAACTTGGTGTATAATGCAAGGAAGACAGAACTGTTAATATTTAGGGCAGGAAAAGGTCCACAAAACGTCCCACCAGTATGGATAGGAGGTCAGCGAGTCAAAGTAGTAGAGAGGTTTAAGTACCTTGGCCATGTACTGACGTCAGACTTCAAAGACGATGCCGACATAGATAGGCAACGCAGAGCGCTGTCAGTAGTGGGCAATATGATAGCCAGGAGATTTTTTAAAGCTGACACTCAGACGAAGGTACATCTATTTAGGACATATTGTCAGAGTTTTTACACGTGCCAACTCTGGACGCGCTACACGAAGAGGTCTCTGGATGGTATTCGTGTCCAGTACAATAACATCTTTAGGCAGCTAATGGGTCTGGAGCCGCACTGTAGTGCGTCAACTATGTTTGCAGAAGCTAGGCTGGATACGTTTAATGCCATCCAGAGAAAACGAATCGCCGGATTCATGTCAAGGGTTGGTTCGTGTACAAACAGTATTATCAAAGACTTTTCTGAAAGACTGTATACTACCACAATGTACAAAAAATGGTTACAGATTGCAGCGTAATATTTGTTTTTGTATTTTTTTAGTTTATTTTGTGTTTTTGTTTTTTGGAATTTTGTAATAGTGTAGAGAGGTTGGCGTTTTGTTGTTTTTTTTTTTTTTTTTTGTAAAATATGGAGTGTAATGATTCCGAAATAAAGATTTATTATTATTATTATTATTATACTTGTATTTCAGGTTAAAACCTCACCCATTTCTGGGGAACTACACCATAGTTGCGGACTTTTGGTCAAAGCAACTTTGGGGGTGATACTTGTGATGATCTAATCTAATCTATTGATAAGAATTTTCGGACTATTCTGCATGTGTTGAGTATAACTGCTTTCTGTAGGAGTGTGAATGTGAGGGGATGTAAATCGAGGGTCTTTAGACTTGTGTGTAGTGTTTTGGGGATGACGCCTGTGCTAGATATAATAATAGGAATGGTCTTAACAGTGTGAACTTGCCACTGAGTTTTGAGCTCAATGGTCAAGTCTGTATATTTAGAGAGTTTGTTGGTGTGAGTCGAACTTAGGTTGTGGGTGTTAGGTATGGCTATATCTATTAGATACACTATTTTGTTTTTCTTGTCGTGAAGTGTAATGTCAGGTCTGTTGTGATGTATGGTTTTGTCGGTTAGTATGGTTCTGTCCCAATACATTTTAAAATCGGGTGAATCTAGGATGATTTGGGGTGTGTACTTGTAGTATGGAGTTTTCTCTGCTATGAGTTTGTGTTTGAATGCGAGTGCTTGGTGTATGATAGCTGCAACCTGGTCGTGTCGGTGTTTATAGTCTGTTTGTGTGATGGATGAGCATGCCCCTGTAATATGTTGGATCGTTTCAGGTTGTTTGTGGCAGTGCCGGCAATGGTCACTGCCAAGGATGCTATCGCGGATTATGTATTTTCTGTAGTTCTTGGTGTCAATCACTTGGTCTTGAATGGCTAACATGAAACCTTCTGTTTCAGGGAACAGCTCGCCTCGCTTTAACCACGCGTTTGACGCTATCTTGTCAACGATAGGATTGGTTAAATCGAGACGATGTCGGCCATGGAGCGATTTCTGTTGCCAAGCTTGTATCTTCTGTTCTTTGTTGATTGTTGTAATTTGTTTTGTTCGGTCTGCTAGTGAGAGTGGTGTGAATGTGTCTGCCTGACATACAGCTTTATGTAATAATGAATGTTGTGAGCGGTTGTAAAAGAATTTTCTGAGTAATATGATCTGATTATTATGAAGGTTTGCGATATCAATGAGTCCTCTGCCACCCTCAATTTTAGGCAGGGTTAATCTCTGAATACAAGACCTAGGGTGGTGTTTTCTGTGTTTAGTCATAGTGGTATTAATTATTCTTTGTAAAGTTGTGAGGTCAGTTTGAGTCCAGCGGATAATACCAAATGAGTATGTTAAAATCGGGATAGCGAATGTGTTTATCGCTTTGATGGTGTTTTTTGCGTTAAGGTGAGTATGTAATATCTTGTGTAATCTGTTCCTAAGTTTTTCTTGTAATAGTTTTTTTGTGTCTTTAAGGTGAATTTCTGTAGACTGATAATAACCTAGGTATTTATAACCCTCGCTAGGATCAACAGCTTCTATTAGTTCTTGGTTGTCTAATTCGTATTCTATTGGTTCTGCTACTCCCTTAACAATTGACTGAATTTTGCACTTATCTATTCCAAACTCCATGCAGATGTCATTTGAAAAAGTTTGTGTTATATCAGCGAGGGTGTGTATTTCATTCCGGTTGCTAGCGAATAGTTTTATGTCATCCATGTACATGAGATGAGTGAGGGTTGTACGCTGAGATTCGTGTTTAATTTTGAATCCTATTCTATTATTTTTGTTGAGCATGTTCGAGAGTGGGTTAAGTGCCAGGCAAAACCACAGGGGGCTTAGCGCGTCGCCTTGGAAGATACCTCTTTTTATTGGGATACATTCTGTTTCAATGATGTGATTTGGGTTGAATATTTTTAACTTGGTGTTCCAATAAGGCATTATTGTTTCTAAAAAGTCTATGATTACGGGGTGGATTTTATAGTGTTTTAGAATATATATGAGCCAGGAATGTGGTACAGAATCGAAAGCTTTTTTGTAGTCAATGTACATGGTAACAATGTCGCGTTTCTGCTTAAGTGCTTGTTTACAGGCTACCGCGTCAATAGTGAGTTGCTCTTTACATCCCTGGCTATTCTTCCGGCAGCCTTTTTGTTCTTCTGCTAATATGTTGTGTTCCTGTATGTGTTTGTATATGGATTCACTAATACACGATGTAATGATTTTATATATATTCTGGAGACATGTGATGGGTCGATATTTAGCAGGATTAGCGGTGTCTGACAGATCTTTTGGCAGCAAATATGTAGTGCCTTGTGTGATGTATTTTGGCATTGAGTTAGGTGACTGTATGAATGTGTTGATGTGTTTGAGCAGTAGTGTGTGAGTGGATGTCAATTTTTTGTACCAATAGTTATGTATATTGTCGGATCCTGTAGCTTTCCAATTATGTGCCCTAGCAATAACCGTTTTCAGCAAGTGTAAGGAAATCTGATCAAATTTCATTTCGGGTGTATCTTTCCACCTTTCTATATCCTCTTCGATCCACCCATTTTGCCGATGTTCTATTGGGTTCGACCATATATTGGACCAAAAGGCTTGTAGGGACTCTGGGCTTGGTGGA